GGGGGGGGGCGGATGTGTGCACTTGTGGGCACGCTCCTGGGGAAGGGTGCGAATAATGCAGACAGGGATGCGACAGCACCCGCGGCACCTCCCTTCTCTGGTAGACAGGGCCCTTATCATAACAAGAACGATTGTTAGTTTCTTAACAGGCGACCTGATCGAGCGGACGGCTCGCCTGTTCGTTCAACTGAGAACGGAGCCTATAGGCCACAGGCCACTCTGTATGGCTGCAAGCTCCGGTTCCGATTGGGTCTCCGTCACACGAGTTTGTCAAAAATGAACAGGATATGGCACACTGACTCAGGGTTGCAGGTTGGGATGCAAGCATACAGAAGCAAGAAAATCCGTCGAAATTAAAACACAAAAAGTTCGTAATTACCCCCTCCAACAAACGGACTTTGCACGCAACATTTTTAGAATTGTGAAAAGCGGCGAAACCCTGTGACGGATGTTGCTAATCACTGTCACACGCCGAACAGAATGTTTCACCCAAAGAGAACTTTCATTGCTGAGCGAGCCAAGTTGCGATGGCGAATTATTACCAAGCCTCTGTGGAGCCTTGTTGGCCTCTCAACGAGCCACGTGTCGAGTACTGTGGGGTGTTTGGCGGAGCCGAGGCTGCGCCGCCGGGGAGAAATTGCTTCAAAACCTCATCATAAAACGCTTACTACGACCCCATTCCGTTCCAAAGTTAAAGTGGGTGGCATTCGAGCGAGGCCAGCCGGGGCTAGCTCGGGCTCCCGGCCGTAGGGCTGGCTTCTCTTTGAGATCACTGACACGCGAACTGCGAAAGGGCGCCGGCTGCCGAGCAGGATGTACCCCACCCCGCCACCACCACCTCCGCGTCTCCTGGAAATCCTTACAAATTATTTACCAACTCGGGCAGGCCGGTGTAATCTCGAATCCGCCCAGCGAGCGGTATGTTATGCCACTCCGAACACAACAAGGAAATTTCACCGCACCCAGACAAGCCTGTTCTTGCATCAAGCTTTTTATGCTCGAATCAAGCGCAACATGGACTTTACTGTCTCGGGAATAGTTTGTGCATGAAACAAGCCCGATTGGCACATAAATTAAGTAAATTTAATTGATTCAAACACGAACGTTCTCGGTTTGAGTCGAAATTGGGCATGAATCAAATGCCTAAGACAGTCGAGAACAGTGCGCAAAAAACAAGAACACGCTTTTTTTAGTACACCCGCCACCCGATCCGACTTGAACGAGACGATTCCCTCCGAAATCTGCGTGAGCGACCGTCGTCGTGTTTCATTTAGACAACGATTTCACGCTCCGCTGTTTTCTTTGCTACTAAAACACCTATAGTGTACCGCGGATAATCACACCCCTTTCCTGCTCTGTGATTCCGCAAAGCAGACTCGTCCGCCGAGAGGTACATAGCTATCGATAAAAAATCAGTGTACCCCCGCCCACCACATCCCAAATAAACGAGAAAAAATATCAGGAAAAAAAATCAAGAAGAAATCGATTAAAAATTGACGAAAAAGATCAGAAAAAAATAGACAAAAAAATTAATCAAGAAACACAGGAATATCGGCGTACGCGTGCCGTTTGAGTAAAGGACCCCCCGGCACCCCCGCCCCTCCGCCGCAACTCGGCCGGTGTAATTGCTGTGCACGTCCCCTCCCCCCCCCTCCCCCTCTCACCTCGCGAGGCACCTGGGCGCCGCGAGGCGATAGGCCCCCTGGCTGTGACAGGCTATCGGCGCCCTTCGCTTTCGCCGCGGTTTCGTTTGCATTCCCCCATGTCGCTCTACTCGGGCCGGGCACGACACGGGAGCGGCCGCGCGCCAACAACGCGCCTAACAGGTATGAACCGTGTAAACTGGGCAAAAAACGCCAGAGACAAAAACGCCAAGGCTGCATGCAAAGGTCGGCGGATTTTTGTTGCCGCTGTCACGGATGCCATGTCCGTTGACCATTAAATACTAGTTTGAAAATGCAAAGGTAGGGCCGCCCCTAATGTCACAAACGGGAGAACAAAATGCCCACTGCAGTATCAGCCGGAATGTCGTTGGTGCGACTTTCCCATTCTGGTACAGTGAGAATTTTTCTCGACTGTCGTAACGGTAACGGAGAGAAAATCTTGGTTGGAAGCGCATTTGTTGTGTATCATTAGTCCAGGCATCCTTAGCTTATTAGTACTGACATGATAAATTATTTGTCTCGAGAGAGTGGCTTTTTTCGCCGCCACTCCTTTGCCGTTTTCCTTTCTGGGTGCGAGAGGGCAGATAGGGCCTGCTGCCGTGGCCATGTTCTGGGGTGTTCTGGTCTGTTCTCGGCAGTGGACAGGGCTGTGAGACTCCTCCCGCATCTCTGGGATCGCTTGCGGCCCCGCAGCACGCTCTGCGCCGGGGCGGGGCGGGGCGGCCGGGAGCGCCTCGGGGGGTAGGCCATACCGCTACACAGGCGTGCGTGGCGGGCCTGCCCTGCTGCGTGAGGGACGGAGCGAAGGGGAGAAAGACACAGAGAGAGAGGGATGGAGGGGGAGAGAGAGAGCAAGAGGGGGGGGAGAGAGCAGGTTGGGCGCGGTTATTGACTGATAGACGTTGTCTGTTACAAGAGATGATAGGAGGGCGGTATTCCTCTTTGTCATGTCTGTGCGCCCGAACTGTCAGTTTATATATATGTGTATCGCCCCCCCCCCCTCGACCTGCTCCCTCACAAAGGATTGACGTTTGCGCCAGAGACCGTCTCATGCACCAGTGCCTTCGCATCACTGGGAGAAAAAAGTCTTCGACGACATTGCACCTTAACAAGCGCGTTCAAGCGAAAAAAATCGCTGGCAAAATAATGGGGGGGGAAAACGTTGCAAGTTGTAAAGCTAGAAAAATATGGCGGATCAATGCACCAACTTGGTATTCCTTGATGAGCAAGAAATCGTTCTCAACTCGTAAAAAAGATTTGAAAATATATTTTTCACAGTGGATGACGAAAGATGTTAAAAGTTGCACTCAACCATTTAATGTTCTTGCGTCTCAGGAATAAGAGCACCTGGGAAAACTAACTAAGAGGAAAGGAGAGTCGGAGGGGGGGGGGGGAATTCACCGCCTTTCCCTTTTGCGTGTTAAGAAAGCATATGCGAACTGTCTTGAATTTCCAAAAAAAACAAAAACAAAACAAAAAAACAAACAAAAAACAACAACAAAAAACCTTTGCAATTTTTCTTGGTTCTTTGTACATGGACACGGATCTGGGTGTGGATCTGGGCCGCTCGTGACCCGCACCCTCCATCATCTGCTAACGCCGGAGGGCTTCTCCCCGCGGAGGTCGAGGCTCATCCACATCCGCCCCGCATGATGCATCGACCAATTTTCCTCCCCTTCTCCAATAAGGCGAAGCTCTCCCAACCCCCTCTTCCTACTTCCCCCCCGGTCGGAGGGATTCGGGCGAGCGAGCAGGTGCGGGTGAGTTTACCCCCTGCCCAGTTTACGATGTATGCACACGGTCGTGGCCGAGGCGGACGGGGCAGCCCGGCCCGGCCTCAGCAGTATAGGTCAGTACGTATATGATGTACTGTACTCGTCTCGCATACACACACACACGCACACGCACACACACACACACACACCTGTTCCAGTTTCCCTGTCCCTCCTATACTTTTTCCCTATATTTTTTAGCTCGTGTCGTTGCGCTTCCGACGTGGAGAGTAGCGGGTGAGTGACGCGTTGGGTACGAGAAAAGGAGACAGAGAGAGAGGACAGAGAGAGAGGGAGTAGCGGGTGAGTGACGCGTTGGGTACGAGAAAAGGAGACAGAGAGAGAGGACAGAGAGAGAGGAGAGAGAGAGAGAGAGAGAGAGAGAGAGAGAGAGAGAGAGAGAGAGAGAGAGAGGGAGAGAGAGGGAGAGAGAGAGACAGATAGACAGACAGACAGACAGAGACAGACAGAAAGAGACCGATGAATAATGCGTTTCCGCAGCCACGGCACATCAGTCTGGATAGAAATGGAAAGATAAAGTGTGTGAGCAGTGAAAGTATGT